GCTTTACTTATCCTGAAATCACTCTCTCTGAAGACTTGGTTATTCAAGAAGAATATGTAAGATCTAACAAAATAGAACAGATTTAATTCTTTAGTAAAGAACACTCTACTGATGTCTTTATTGTTGTCTGGAATATAAAAAAGGAAAGCTTTAGTCATCAAATAAGAGAAATAAAGACCAAAGATCAAGCAGTCTTCTTTTTCTCTTTCTCTATTTTAATAATGGCTTTGAGCTTGTTGTTCAGGCATTGTATGCCTGTTTGATTTCAAATACAGTTGGCTGTATCTTGAGTCTATAGATCAATGATCTCTAATCATAGTCCTGTTAAGGTATGTAGTAGCCAAATGGACATCTATCTTTAAGGAAGAAAAAGTCTTTCTCCAAAGGTATACTAACCAGATTAATGTACAAATAAACTGTGCTTTTTTTACTTTAATGTAGTTACCAATAGCCTAACAGTGCTGATTCTGTTTTTCGTTAATTTAAAGATTTTAGACAGTGTTGAGCCAGTTGATTAAAATACCAATTAGTATTGTTAGAGGATGTGATTAGTTGTTTCTGAGTATATGAAAGAGGTGGCCCTCGGATTGCTTTTTGTCCCAGGAACTCTTTAATTTCTTGAAGACCTAAGGAGTGTATCAAGATGCAGGTTTATCTGGATGTCTGTACACAGTAAGATACTGTAATAGGCACTTCTGAGAAGCCAGTGAAAGGAGAAATTGTACTGATGAAAAATTGCACATGAGTCTCAGGAACTTTAGATGCATCTGAAACTATTTGGAAGGAAATAGGGGAGTTGTGGGATCCTTCCCTGGATCACTTGCAGAAATGAACTGGCATTCTTTATGCTTGTCTAAAAGGGTTGCTTTAGCAATACCTTGATACACAGATTATCGTTAGTGAGATTATTTCAGAAACTCACAGATGCATTATGCCTTTGCTTTCGAAGGCTCTCTAATACTATTTTAGGAGAGATGCTCTATTGTTAATGAGTTTACTCATCAAATGAGAAGTTTCTTTTGACCAAAGAAAAAGCAGTTCCCCCCCATACTTGTCTTCCAGTAATCCCGTGTCAAAGCACAGTGTGTGAAGTGCTCTTATGCTTTGGTGGAGTGTCACGTTCTGGAGCAAGAGGAAACAGATCTTTTTGACCAACTCTGGATTTTTTTCCCTGACAGCAAGGATTCCAGAGCTAAAACTGAAATGAAGTACAATTCTTATTGCATGCTGCTCAGGGTAAAGCCTTGCTGTAAAATATACTTATTCCTGCATGCTTGGGGTCTGCAGGATATTGCTGCGGCAGCATGCCAGTTCCAGTTATGGCAATTCCACTTGAGTGAAAGAGAGGTTCTTGGAAGAGGAAGGCAAAGCAAAAAAACCCAACCAAACAAAAAACAACCAAACCCCAAAAACTTGATTTATCCACAGCGTCTTGCTCGTTAGAGGAAGATACTGTTTTTGCTAAGAAAGTAATTGTCTGGTATTCAGGCTCTAGCTAGAAGTTTTTTTCTTCTGCAACATATTTCTTCCTAACTGGATAAGTATTTTCTTTGGTGCAATCATACAGGTTGTCTCTGAATAAATAGGAATTCTGTTTTTTCCTAGATAAAACAGTAATATAACATATTTGCTACTCAGGATGATGTTTCACCAATAGCTTTTGCCTAAACTGGGGCACCTGCTGTCTTTCCTCTTCTTTCCTTATCGCAAGCAGTTGTCCGCTTTTGAATTCCATAAGTTAATGTGTGTTACTGATTAATTTTATCAGAAGGAGTGCCTAGGGATAGCAGAAAATAATTTGCATGGTCTAGACTTGCTTCGGCTTGGGAAAGATTTGATTCTCTCTTTATGTTCCAGACAGATAACTATAAACAATCATTCATCTCTTTAATGCCCTGTAGCCTTGTGTGTTGTTAATCAAATGAGACCGTTGCAATTCTAAGATTGGAAAGAAGTTAAGGATGTATTTTTGCTCTGATAGGGTTTAATCAATTGTAATTAGATTTGATCCAGAGTTGTTCACATGCTTGTGTAAGATGCAGTGGCTGCTTAGCATCGTCTCTTAATTTTGTATTAATCTGAAGGAGTCACCCTGTGCAGCATTGCTTTTCCAAGACATCATTGCCAGGGTCTCTGTAACTGCCTTAGGCATCATGTTTATCCTTTGAAAGGGCTTAATTTTTGCTCTTACCGATTGCCTCATTTTCCTTGATGCTGTTTTCAAATTGTTCACAAAATATTATTCCTGTGGCCGTTACTAGAAGGCTGTTCCAAAACCTCAGTTCTCTGGTCACTACAAAACACCTTCGGTTTCTAGCCTCATTTATCCTGTGGTCAGTTTTTATTTGACCTAGTGCCAACTTTAATTTACCTCACATAATTACTGTATATGTATTTATTTTCTTTTTTTACCCCTCTGTGGTGTCTTCCCCTGTGGGCATTTTGGAAGCTTTTTGGCTCAGTAAGGTGAATGATATTGACTGTTATTGCAGGGAGAACGGAGACAAAGAAAAGAGGAGAGGATCATCTGGCACTTGTCAGGGCTGGACAGCAGGCAGATGTGAGATCTGGGGCACTGTGTCGCAGTACAGCACAGATTTTTCAAGACAAGGCAGAGCATCTTGTTGAAAGCATCTTAGCAAAAACGTTAGAAGGAGTCATATCCTGTTAGGTTTAATTTTACAGGATTAAGTGAAGTGAGCTTTCTTACCTCTAGGCCCTCTCCAAGTTCTCTTCATCACTTTCTATTTCTCCAAATGCAATGGCAATCCATTTTCACATTAATTCTATGTATTTCTCCAAGCAATGTGGTCAGCTAAGACAGTTACCAAGCAGCAGTGTCCCTCAGTTGTGCTGCAGAAATGCCTGCAGGGATGTGTTGTGGATTGGGTCGGTTAGCTGATCTCAGACAGTGGGTTTGCATTGAATGATTGGCTTCGTCCTGCTTCAGCACTGCAGAGACAGGATTATAGACAATATTTGCAATAAACGATTTGTAAAATGAACGCTTGTCTTCTATTAGGGAGGTGATATAGGTGACTTCAGTAAAAGCATCATGTTGTTTCCCAGTAACCATTTGAAATCTGTAGACCATTTTCCTACCTCTTTTGTAGCAGAGTTCTTTGGTCAACATTATTTGTCTGTGTAGTCTCATACCATCAGCTTTTTGATACGCCAGCTCTATGCGCTGGTCACGTCCCTCAGCTTTGCATTAAAAATCTAGTTTAATTTTAGGTAACTGTGTGCTCCCATCTAGCTGTGGTGAATCCAGTTCTGAACCACTGGAGGAGATGTCCCACAGTTCTTATCTTAAAAGAAATTAAAAAAAAAAAGAAAGAAAGAGAAATTGCCAAACTAGCTTGGAATCTACCTTTAGAAAGTCAGTGTTGCATTTTAATCCTGTATTCATTGCCATCTTAATTTTTCCTTGCAGTGTCTTCCTTACACAACAGCAACATGAAACAGATTGGGCAGTTACTCAACCAATTATTGACCGTATCTTTTTTGTTTAGTAAGTTTCATTTTAGGGCCTATTTTAAATATGGGATCATTTTTTGTTCCCATAGATATGGGAACATTCTCCTTGCAACTCAGGAGAATAATGGAATCCTGAAGCATGTGTAGCTTACATAAGTAAGTGAGACCAGCCTGGAGGCTTGTTTGGGAGCTCTCTGAGTTGAATCAGATAATTCAGTCAGAACTGAATTATTTTTTTCTCTTTCTCCATCTCTCCATCTTTGGGGATGATAGGACAACTAAATCTCCAGAAGGAATCTTATCAAGCTGTTTGTTATCATATTGGGTCGCTGGGAAGATACACTCTAGAGAATTAAGTAGTTCAGAATAAATTGATCCATTTGTAGTTAGGTGTTACTCTGTGCCTCTTGTGGCTGATCAGGTATTGTCTGCATTTCCACTTTCTGCCAAAGTTTAAGCTACAATCCTGTGCTCACATCTGATCTGGATGATGTTTTTCTGGCCCCAGATACTTTGCTTTCTGTGATGGGTAAATTACTTAAACAAGATTAAAGTCACTTTTAAATATGAAATTTCAGTGCTTACAGTAATTCTGTACAAGCTTTTCACCAATTTATTTTTATTTTTATGGTGTGAAGGAGTTCTTTGACCAAGTATAACCTGGTCTTGATGAATGCAGAAATACAATTAAATTATGTTAATGGAAATAGCTTCCGTGTTTTGTCATGGTGATGGTGACAGTTTCTTCCTAATCCTGTCCCGTCCTGAAAGGAGATGGAAGGAAATGTTGTGAGCTGGCTTGTTTTTAATGCATGTGCTTGTACTGAACTACATGATTTACAAATAAGTATTAACTTCTCCTTCCTCCACAGCCCCAGTAGGAAAAGCCTAAATGAAAGCAGCTTATAAAAAAACAAACGTTGCAAAGAAATTGGGAAATGCATCATAATTTGAACTGAGGAATTAGCTGTTCATCTAGCCTTTTTCTTTGGTTGCATAAAAACAGTTCTGCTCTTCTTTTCATATACAGTAGATGGTATACTGAAATGGGAGACTCATTGGAGTTGACTATAAAATAGCAGAAGAAATTGCAGGTGCATATTAGAGAAACAAAAACTGGATTCAGAAGTGATAGCAACTGAAAAACATGGCAATTGAAAAATATAATGGATTCCTTCTAGGTCATGGAGCATAATCTGGAGTAACTTCTTGTGGTTGTTGAAGGTAGAAATCATTTATGTGGGTCAAAAGCATTATTTCTTCCAGTGTTACTGGATTTTTTTGTTAGTCCTTAAAATGACCTTCCACTGCCTTCTGAAGGATGAAGTGAGCACATGAGAAGTGCTCATGGTCCCAAATCTGTCAGTGTTAAGCGTTTGAACAACGCTTGTCAATGGGTGATTTAACACTTAGGTTGCTCTGTGTGGAGCCAAAAGCTGAACTCAATGATCTTTGTGGATCCTTCCTATGATTCTGTGTTTGCCAGATTGATTAATCAGAATCCTTTTTGTTATTTTCCACAGAGCAAATTCGATTAAAGAATATAAGAAATGTCTATGGAAGGTGCTTGTGGTATCGCTTGCGGCTTTTAAAACCACAACAAAACATAATTCCTACAGTAAAGTAAGTATGTTTCATTTGCATGACTTTCCACTAAAGCAATTCCTGTATCTTACTTTTACAAAAATATGTCTGCAATTAATTGTACTGTGGTTGTTTTATATCAGATGTTTGTAATTTCCTGTGTTTGAATAACACCTAATCATTATCTAGTAGTGCTTGAAATAATGATGAATGCCTTGTCCTTTGTAAAATACCTGTTAAATGAAACTGTAAGCCTCAGTGCTAATAAATATGTAGACAGTGCATTCATTGTTTCTTAAAACAAAGTTCCTCCCTCACAAAAACTAGTGGTGCTAGCAACATATTTTGATTTAAATATTTAATATGTAAATATATGTCTTTGAATACACAATAGTAAAGAACAGGTATGTTCAAAGCTGAAGTCTTTGTATCCTTCAGTTCTTAGTTTCTTGCTCTCAATGTTTTACCTTCTGTTATGTATCTTTTCCACCTTTTTTTAAAATAACATTTGTCTATGTCTAGGATGAGATTAAAATCATCCTTTGGAAATACAAAGTGCTATTGTATACTGCTGAAGACAGCTAAAGAATAGAAAGACTCTTTGCTGATAGTGGCTTGCCTGTGTTTTGTTTTGTTTTTTCTTTTTAAATCAAGTTTCTCATCTTTGCCAAATGTGCTGTTATCACAGAAATACTCATACCTGCTTTAAAATTTCTGTAATATTTCTTGCTGTTTTAATGTTGTGCCTTGTAGACTGATAACAGATGGCTTTACATGTTATTTCGAGAGTTACACTAGACCTAGTGGATTTGTACCTGTTAAAAATTCTTTCTTCCAAACAGGAAAATAATCCTCCTTGCTGGATGGGCATTATTTTTGTTTCTTGCATACAAGGTTTCCAAAACGGACCGAGAGTATCAAGAATATAACCCTTATGAGGTTCTACATTTGGATCCTGTACGTAACAGCATTTTTCAGTAGTGTATATTACTGTAATTCTATGCTTTGTCTAGTGTTTTGTGTCTAGATGTTGAATTTGATTCGTTTTTTTTTTTTTTATAAGGTAACTTTGGTGAACATATCTCATGATTTTTGTTCTTCTTTGACATTTGTTGTCATAGAATCATAGAATGGTTTGGGTTGGAAGGGACCTTTAAGATCATCCAGTTCCAACCCCCTGCTACAGGCAGGGACACCTCCCTCTAGACCAGGTTTCTCAAAGCCCCATCCAGCCTGGCCTTGAATATCTCCAGTGAAGTGGAATCCACAACCTCTCTGGGCAACTTGTTCCAGTATCTTGCCACTCTCACAGCAAAGAATTTCTTGCTAATATCTAGTCTAAATCTACCCTCTTCCAGTTGTTCATTGTAAGGTCTGTCATTAGATATTTTGTGATGACTTCTGCATCTAATAGCTTCAAAATTCAAATGACCTCACAAGAGCAGAGTAGAGGGGGACAATCACCTCCCTCTCCCTGCTGGCCACCCCTCTTCTGATGGAGCCCAGGATACCATTTGCAGGCACACTGCTGGCTCATGTTAAGCTTTTCATCCATCAGACCCCCAGGTCCTTCTCTGCAGGGCTGCTCTCAAGGACCGTTCCTTCCAGTCAGTAGAATGCCTGGGATTCCTCCAGCCCAAATGCAAAACTCTGCACTTTGCTGTGTTGAACCTCATCCGTTTCACCCGGGCCCACCTTTCAAGTCAGTTGAGGTCCCTCTGAATGGCATCCCTTCCTTCCATCACGTCAACCGCACCGCTCAGCTTGGTGTTGTCAGCAAACTTGCTGAGGGTGCACTCGTATCTGTCATCAATGTCACTGACAAAGATGTTAAAGAGCACTGGTCCCAAGACAGACCCCTGGGGGACGCTGCTCGTTACCGGCCTCCACCTGGACATAGAGCCTTGATGACCACCCTCTGTCTGCGGCCTTTCAACCAATTTCTTATTCACTGAGTGGTCCACCCATCAAATCCAGGTCCCTATTTCTGGGTTAACTTTGGTTAAACAAAGCTGACAAGGAGTAAGTCATTAGTGGGTTTTCTTTTGTATTCTTTAGCAAATTTATACAACTCTGAGGGGGAAAAAGGTGTGTATGTACTGAATTCTAACTTGATATTTATTAAAGAAAACTTATTAGCTTAATCAAGACACATGTATTTTATTCAGATGAAGAAACCAATACTGGAATGCTCTGTGGTAGGTAGAGCAAAAGGAAAGTTGAATTAAAACTAGAGATGTTAAGAGATGAATGGATGAGTATGAAGATGCATCAGTTGCAGTAGAATTGTTTAGTAGAAGTGAAGATTTCAGAACGTGGTGGTGTTCGATGTTTTGATGCTATCAGAGAATGTCTGAAAAACTTCTTGATTCAGCCTATGTAAAAGTTTACACCACCTTCTCCTTCTATCCATGTAAAACCATTAGAGTTATTGCCAGCCCTGCTGATGTATGATACAGTTTTCGAAGTGTTAATGAAAACGTTGGTGTGGCTTAAAAAAAAAAAAACAACAACAAACAAAAAACCAAAAAATAAGTCAACAAATTCAAATAAAATGAACTTTGTTTCCTAAAAGTTGATGAAAGGGTTGAAGATGCAAGCACTTGAAAACTGGTGTGCAATAATTTTCTTCTTTGCACTCACATCCACTGTTTGTATTTTTGCACTTTGCAGCTTGTGCTGCTCGTCTGACACTTTTGTATAGTCTTGAAATGACTGTTCTTACTCAGTCTGATTTATAGCAGATTAAATTCATCCTGTGCCGCGAATGAGGCAGGCATACTGTTAAAATAGCAGTGGAAAATAGATATGTTGTATAAAAAGACGTGAGGTAAGGTAGCAAATGAAGCCTTAGGGTAGGTTAATTTCTGGTTAGGTTAAATTATGTTTAGGTTAGGTTAAATTTGTTGAAACAGTGTAATCACTTTAAAGTAACTTTGGTATGCTTATGAAAGGCTTCAGCCTGCTAGACCACCAGGTGTTGAAGAGCTCTGTCGGTGATGCTTCTGTGCAACTTAAAAAACTTAGTGGAAAAATTTTATCTGCTTGAGTTAAAGCTGTCTGACCTGAGTTAAAATTGCCTGAGTTTACTTGACTAATGAACTTCCCAACCCAATCTGAAAGTTAGTGTACGTGGGATTGTGCAGGTGGCATCTAGCAACGTGCGGTGATAGAATAAAGACTGATCTTTTTCTCAGCTCTAAGTAATGTGATTCCTTTTATTTGAGAAGTTTGAAATAATTTGCAGATAGGATATTTCTAGTCAAAGGCAGCCTTAAGTAGCAGGGCTATGAATTGCTCTTGTGATAGACAAGACTTGCAAGCTGCAAGTGAACTTTCATACTTGATTTATGAACTCTTTGCTTAAATAGAGGATTACTGCAAATTAAGAATTCTTTGTGTTCTTCAGTATGTTCAGGGAAAAATCAGAATTGTTAAACTGATATAAAAGCCTTATTTTTTAAATATAAATGGATGAGCAAGTAACACAGGAAAAAAAAACCCCAAACAATATCCAATTATCTGAATATCTTTTTGTTAGCCTGTGGCTTCTAACTTGATTTAAAAGTAAAATGATTATATAAATGTTATTAGAAAAACACTGTAATAGTGTTTCTACTAGATGCATATGTAGTTTCATGATCACATCATGTTAGAACATAATTCTTTAAACATGAGTGATTCAGAAGAATATTGCATGATATGCTTTAGAATACAGATATAGAATAATGGATTTGGTTTACAATATTTATTAATAACATAAAACTTTCTTTTTTAAGGGAGCAAGTATATCAGAAATCAAGAAGCAGTACCGTGCATTGTCACTAAAATACCATCCAGATAAAGGAGGAGATGAAGTTATGTTCATGAGGATTGCTAAGGCATATGCAGCGTAAGTTTGTTTTCTGCCTGTAAAAACACTAGAAGGATTAAATCTGTAAGATAATAACAAGAGTGACTTAAGCAGCCAGACATTATGTTTTTGGATATATGATAAAACAGAACAAAATGAGTCAAAATGTGACTGGATTCCATGCATGCCTGTTATGTGTACAAGCTAGGAAGAATAATTTGTTTGTTTAGCAGCTGTGATAATACTGTAAGGTATTAGTTCCTTGTGTTTAACTTTCATGTCAGCTAGGAAAAGTGCTTCCACTGTGACACAGGCTGAATCTTAAAGATGACAAAGAACAAAAAAAAGTGTTGCAGTGTTTAAGCAGCAGATCCTGTTGTGGCCACTCTAAAGCATCCCTTAGACAATAAATGTACTGTTCATTTCATCTGATAGTAAAGCCACAGTAAGAAGCAGCATTCTAATCCTATTCCCATCTAGCAGTAGAGGTGCTTCATTCTGGTTCTGATTGTTTTCTTTCAGCTCTGTCACATCCCTTTTCCTTTGTCCTTGGCTTGCAGACCTGTTTTTTGGCTCAGTGACTGTTTCATATTATCTGTATAGTTCTTAAAACCTGAATCCTAGAAACTTCTTTTTCTCTGAAATATTTTCTTGGTCAAACTTCTGTTTGTGCATTTTTTTTTTTTTTTCTTCTTTTTTTTTTTCAAATCCAAGTGAAGATGTGCAATATTAGAATTCAGTGTAAAAGAAAGCCCTTTAGAAAAATGAAGTTATCCATAATAAAAATCTGGGTTTGATTCTTATAATGCTGTTTTTTTTTTGTTGTTGTTGTTTTGTCTTGTTATAACGATCATCCAAGGAGCTAGCAAGTTAGTTTTAAGTCAGTTGTTTATCTGGTTGATCTTACTGAGATGGAAAGCCAACACCATGCTCTCTTTGAGTAGTTTTGAATTTATTCTTTCTGCTTTTAAACCACTGCATCACTATGGAATCTCTTCAATAGAAGACTATCATACTGCTGTCTGAACTCCTGAAAAATCTCACCTTTATATTTTGCAAACTAGCAATCAAATGCTTGGTGAGTACAGTTTTATACATGTGCAATAATGGTGGCAGAGGCGTATCTTAAAGAAAATGACACCAGAGTTCCTTAGCCCTGTTGTCTGGAAAGAATACATGCTCAATAGTTAAGGTTGTTAATAAGGATGAGACTTAAAAATGAGTAGGAGATCTCTGACTCACTGGATTTCTTTTCTGACAGTCTTCCGCATAGCAAATGTGCAGTGGTGTTTCCTAAAGCAGAAACTTCCTATTTCCATGTAGTAACAGGGATTCTTCTTGAGATAATCTGTTGGCAAAAGAAATGTCAATATAGGATAGGCATAGGAATGGTAAGATCTGCCTTCATTGATACGAAACTAGATACTTCCAGAAAGGAAAGATACAACAACAGATAACCAAGCAAATGTGCTATCAGGGGCTAAAAGTCTAGAGTAAGGGAATAAAAGCCCGTGCAAACAACTTCTGCATTATCAACTCATCTTGAATATTTACCTTCTTGCCTCCAAAAGGTAGCTTCTTTAACTTGTGTTGTCTTTTGAAACTTGCTTGCATAAAATGGCAGTGAAAGGTGCTTTTTCTTGAGAGCGAGCAGTCAGTCTCACAAAAGTGAAATGTGATCATTCTCTTTTACTGTAAGAGGCTGCACCCTTTTGTGTCTGATTTCTTTTAATTTCAGAGTGCTAAGAAAAAAAAAAAAGCCTGTGTATCATAAGGGAAAACAGTGACATTGTTTTTCAGATTTTATATAATCAATAAAAGTTTTTTAGTTTGTCAAACCATCTCTGAAAGAAAGTAAAATGCCACATTTTAAAGTTTCCGTATGCTAATGACTTAAAGAAATTTCTTAACTTCTGGGTTAACTTAGTATTTCTTCTTGAAACTAGCTTGACTGATGAAGAATCAAGAAAAAATTGGGAAGAATTTGGGAATCCAGATGGACCACAAGGTAACAACTATGAATGACAAAAGTGCTGTCATTTCTGTTCGTTAAGTTTTGAATTTATTAAGATGTGTAATGCTTATTCACTTGAGAGGCACTTCAATCTTAGCATATATGGAATATATTTTTCCTTAGATTTGAAGATACGTTTAATCAATTCTTTGCATGTAAAACTGGCACTGGTGTGGTGGGAGGAGTGAAAAGTCAAGATAGAGTTTACTGTATGTTTCTTTAACTTTTTATTAGAAAAAACAGAAAGGTTTTTTTTTTCATTATTAATACACCACTTTCATTAAGTACTTATAGTGAATTGCCAGCATTAAAAGGAGTTATAAGCAGAAAACAGTCCATTAGTCTTCAGAAACTTGTCATTTTAAACTTTTTTTTTGTATTTATAAACACAAATATAAGTAAGAACTTGCTTCAGAAATGCTGTCATCATCAGCGCAATGGCACTGTTAATATTATAGTAAAGCTTTCTTAAGGCCTTTATTCATTTTTTCCATCCAGAAGCTATTAACTTATTTTTGCCAAAGCACAGTAATTTGAGTTAGACTGTATGTCAGAGTACTTGAAGCGACCTGAAGCTATGACTTTAAAACAAGATTTGTCCAAAAGCAGATAAGATTTTGAAGGTGAGAAGATCCTTGTGTGGTTTGCTCAGAGGAAGCTTTCGCAAACTTAGGAACTTATGATTCTTGAATGGCAAAGTGAAGTGATTCTTTGATAGGACAGGAGTTCACACAGTTGATTTGTAGGCGTTCTGCTCTACTGAAACCTTAACTCAGCCTGTGGAATAAGAGTTCTCTGCTTTGCTACTAGATCTTGCATTGTTGCTTGATCTGAAGGGTTGGAAGAAGCCTGAAATTCTCCTCCTATCTTATGTGACCTTGTTCCACGCTGCTGTGTGAGGAGCTTTCTTTCTCATTTAATGAGATCTTTTCATTTGAGCTCTAATGCAAACAAATGAATCAGGGTTATGTACTCTGGTTTTTAGTTCTGTCTAGTCAAAGAAGGGAGACAGGTATATAGGTATATTCTGGGATGAGGTGAAGAACATCTTACATGCCTAAAGTCAAATGAGGAGCATCCCACTCTCTGTGTCTAGCACAAAAGAAGGACAAGCAGTATTCCATTCCCTGCCCAAATGAATCAGAATGAAGGTTAGAGACAGGCCAACAACTTTATCACGTCTTCAATATGACTTACTCCTTTAAGTAAAATACTTCATGTGCAGAATCATTTGCACAGTATTTAAAAGCAGATGAATAAACCTGGAGAATAAAAATACATGCTTTAGGAATATTAAATGTAAATTGTTTCCCCTGGGTATTTGCTTGTGTTTCATGTTGGTGAGCATGGTAGGAGGCAAGGAGATTTTCCAACCAGAAGAGAAAGAACTTTTTTGTTGAAATGTTCTATTCCTAGAACAATTTGAAGCTACAATCCTAAAGATCAAAAGTTTAGTGTCCCACAATACCACCAGTAAAACACACATTACGTTTTCAGTAGGTTCTTCTAAAAATGCGTGACTTTTACAGTTAGGGAAGTACCATCAAATTCTATTTATCAGCCAGGGCATTTCCCATAATGTACTGCAGTAAATTCACTCAGTGTTACTCCACTGAACTCTAAAGCTTGAGATGTGTGTTGGGCAGATGTTGAGTTTGATTTTTGATAAATAGTAGTTTCCAACTGAAGGGCTTCTTAAAAATTGTGTTAGATTTGTGCATAATAACTGGTTATCTGAATGAATGGCTGTCAGAACCTATTGGAAACACTATCAGTAATTTCTAAGCATGTAGAAGTTCCTAGTCTGTCCTAATTCAAGGTGATGTAACTCACTGATCACTGCTGGTAGTGAGGAGATGATTTTTATTTTTATTTTTTTAATTTATTTTTTATACAATAAACAGAGGGGGGAGGTTTAATGTAGGTCCTGGAAATCATTAAAGTTGTGGGGTTTTGCTGTTGTTTATTTTTTTCTTTTTTCAATTTATGTGTTTACTGATCTATATTTAAGCTGTGGAAACTTCTATGAGGCTGAGCTTATAAGCCTTTCTACATGCAAAATCTTTCTCTCCTTTTCATGTTAATAAATCTTGCATGTTTGTCTCATTGTGAAATGCTAAGATAAAATCACTGGGATTTCAGATGTTGCACTTACAATTTCATTGCATACTTGAGTATATTTCTAATTTGTGTTTTTGTTCAGTTAAATTTTTTAGAATTTTACTTTATGATAAACATGAGTGATTTTTTTTTTTAGTAGACTTGACATGATTTAAATATATTTCCTCAATATTATAGAGTGAATTTCTTTTCTTTCATCCTACAGCTACAAGCTTTGGTATAGCTTTGCCAGCTTGGATTGTGGATCAGAAAAATTCAATTTTGGTGAGTCAGCTTACTTAGGTTGATATTTTAAGATGGCTTTTCAAGTATTCACCTTAATGCATGTGCCCGTGCTTGATTCTATGTTTGAGTCAAAGCATGTAGAATGTCAGTGCTGACATTCTGGTCCAAATGTGTCTCCGAAGCAAGTTCCGTGAGTCAAAAGTAACAGAGTAGCTTAAATCTAACCTTTGAGAGTAGACCATTAATGTGCTTTGAAGGATGTAATTGCAGTGATAATTAAGTGATGCTGTGGTCACCCCTGCTGCGAAGCATGTGTTTGCTGTGGTGAGAAAACACATACACAATTATTTCTGCTTGCTGAATTTCTGTAGTTCCATTTGGTTGCTATAGATGCTGTAATCTTAGTGTCTATATGTTGTTCTTTCCATTACATTTGTTCCTGCAGCATACTCAGCTTGCCTGCTTGCTCCTTGTACGTTTATCATCTCTGTCCACTGCATCACAATTTAGTTACCGACTCTGTAATAATTAAATAAACCCACCGATGACATAAATGGATGGCTTAAGTGGTTGCTTAGCTAAACAAATACTCCTTATTTAAACTCTACCCAGCAGATTGTATTACTTTTAAGTTGTTCTTCAAAAATAACTGCTATGCAATAAGATTATTTTAACTTGTAGTAGGTTTGTGGTAATGCTGCTTGATCTTATTATGAGATAAACAAGAGTGGTATTAAGAAATTGAAGTTCCTAATGTCATTTCTTCTTTTTTTTCCTAGGTTTTGCTTGTATACGGGCTAGCATTTATGGTTATTCTTCCAGTTGTTGTGGTAAGCATTATTATCTGATTAATATTCTACCCTCTTTAAACAAGCTGTGAACAAAGCTTGCTCGGACATTAGTGGACTTGCTCATTCTTTCTTTTCATGGTGAGAGAGAGCTTCAGTTTTTTAAAGTGAATGTTCTCTTATGGAAAAAGTACAGTTGTTGTAGTGTTTATTTAAAAAAAAAATAATAATGCAGTGCTGTGATTGAAGGGGACTGACTGTTAGGAAAACAGCAGATAATCACAAGGGTTAGAGATTGGGTTAGGTAATTTGTCTTGTCCTTTCAGTCATGTGTCACAAGATAAGTAATAGCATTTGGTGAAATGAGAGTTTATTCAGTGGTGTTACAGTAGGGCCAAGACAAAGATGCTTTTGGCTGTTGGTATGGGAATGATTTCTACTTGAGGAACAAGTTGTCTTCTTGTTTTCTCCTGACTGCCTTTATTTTCATAGTTTTAATTGTTGTTTATCTTCCATACACTCTGAAATGTCATTTCTTTGTGTGAGGAATCAGTTGCAAGATGGGTAATATTTCAGGGCTCTGGTTTTGCTTCTGACCATTGTCCCTTATCCTCAGAAAATGACTCTCAGACTCGGAATTCCTAAACCTTCCTTTCTCTTTGGGAAAAGATTTTCATTTGAGAAATTCTGCTGGTCTATTGAGAACTGCTCATGTCTTTGTGTACAGGACATCAGCTTGGCATTTTCCCTTGTCTTAGGGAGTGTTTCTGCATCATTGAGGATCTAGTGTAATAAATTTCAAATACACAGTTTTCAATGAGGAGTTGAGTAAGGAGTCTAAAATGCAGCGTAAGATGTCTACCTACACATCTTTCTTTTCTTTTTGAGTTTCAGTTGGCATGAGTTGATGCTTTTTTTGTACGTGTGTACTTTTAATGATTTATACCAGGTTTATCATAGCTCAAGTGAAAGTAAACTTCCGTTCTGTTGTTGTGGAAAAAAATGTCCTGAGCAGGATCAAAAAACAGTCTGCCTCTTCTTGTCTCTGTACCAGATGTAGACTTCTGCATTCAAACTTGTCATTGTAAATTTTTTTTATAGTCGGTGAAGAGGAACAGACATTTTTATGGAGCAAGCTATTTTATCATTTAATTCTAAAGTAGACATATAAAATGATTCATGCCTTTAATAGGGCTGTTTCTCTTTTATGAATCAATAAAGAAGCCGAAGTTAACTACGGTGTAGTCATTTCATATCCGCGATAGGCATCTTAAATAAAGTAAGGCTAGTTCACCCTTTGAATCCACATGTATAAAGGGAAAATACTGATATACAGTTCTTTATAGACTTCTGTTGACTAAAATAACAGAAAATAAAAACAAATAAAATAAAAATAAATAAATAAATATATAAATAAAAAGCAGACCAAAATAACGTTCTGCTTTCATATGTGAGATGAGATAATAAGCTACTTCTGCAAAAGCAGTTAGGACTTTTAGGGCAGTCTCATTCATGTGGACTTTGTTAATGTTTCGCTTCCTGTATCTGTACTTAATTTGACAAAAAACTTGGAGATCCTTGGGATTATAATATAAATTATTCTGTAGAAAAACTTTTCAGAACTTCTGTATTCTTTTGTGTGAAGGTTTATCTATTCATGGAAGAATCAAAGTTAATTTATTCAAAACCAGCAAACGAACACACTTTTTATGAGGAGAATGTTTTCCAAATAATTAAGTAAATTGCAGAGTCCTCACTGTGCTATGGGAGTTAATGCTATTGCCTATTAAATTAATAGTAGTAACCATTGATTACTACTTCATTGCTTGCTACTTTTCACTCATGATAAACTTTACACCAGATGGAGATTTATCTTGGATGTTTTTCTCAGGTTAGTGAGCTTTGTTTACAAAGAGAATTTTAATGAACACATTGCATCTTATACTTTTCCATGCCACTTTTCTTAAAATTATGGACACTGTTCAGTGAGTTCTGTAATTTGAAGTCACTGGTGTTACTGCTTATAAGGGAATTACTGGAATGTTTCTAAAGGTTTGGGAAAAAGCTTTGGTTGTCTTAAAAGGGGGTATGGCTTAGGCTGGTGCTGGGTTACCTCCAAATTCCTCTAGCAGAAGGTGGGCCTCCCTGTGCCATTAAGGTGGAATTTAAACCACTCTAAATTCTGCTTCTGAAAAGCACATTTTAATTGGGTGACTTCAAGAGAATTTGCAGAAAAATAATTCAGAATGAAAGTTCCCTTTTTGGTCTTGGTTTATGCTGTAATCAGCCTAAACTGAATTTGATTTGAATGCTGTTGCACGATACTACTTTCTTTGTAACTGGTAATTTCAGTGTATTCCCTAAAATAACACCATAAATAAACAAAACTGCGTATATATGTGTGTACATGCATGTGCTAGGGGGAATCTTTAGGCTAAGAATTGTCCAAAAATTTTTAGCTTCAGAATCTCTCAGATGAATACATTGATGCACATTTAAAGTTCGTTTTGGAGAGGGTTTTTTTTCTTTCTTTCTGAACTTCATTTGACCTTAATGTAAAAAAAAATTGTTTAGGCTTGGTCTCTTTGTTTTGTGTGTGTATGTGTGTGAGGTATAGGCTACCTATGAACAAGTATGAGATGATCTTGTGTAACTATTTTGATTCTCCATTGTGGCTGACGCTGTGTTGTTCATACGAAATGTTTCAGGGTTCCTGGTGGTACCGATCGATACGATATAGCGGCGATCAGATTCTCATCCGGACAACTCAAATATATACGTACTTTGTCTATAAAACACGGAACATGGACATGAAGCGTAAGTAAAAGGCGTCTTGACATCCTGCTGTGTTCATCTGGAAATGTCAGTTGGTGTTAAAAATCCTTTTGCTTTGTAAGCTTTGTTACATTAAAGTATTGTTTCTGGTTCTTTCAGAGTGTTTCTTCAAACTTCATTTTTTTTGCAGGTGAAGAAAATTTTCTAGAGAGATGACTTAAATCACATAGTGAATTTGCTTTGCTTTTGCTTGGTTATGAACTTCACGCTGGTGAGGTATCAGTGCCAAAACTCAAGATGAAAGTTGAACTAATCAAACTGGGCTAGGGAAACAGTGAGACACATCTGCATGAGTTGGTTTGTTTTAGTTATTTTTTAGGACAAATGAGTTTATAAGACTTGTTTTCTATCTGTGAAGCTCAAATAGTAGAGAAGTATTTAGATTTGTCTAAAGCTTTTTGTTACACTCTGCTCAGGAAGTAAATAATAATTGGAACAAAGATGGCAGCTAATGCTCAGAGAACTTGTTTACTTGTTAGTAAGTGGAACTCACTGAGCACTGCAACTGGCAAAGTAACTGACTTGCTCAGAGAAGAACTTGGCCAAATTTAAGAATGAAGCTTGAATAACTGTAGCTGAAGAAGTTATAGGAACTGGAGCGAATGACAAGTTGGATTTTCTCTTGTTTGCTATGGCAGAGGTGTCTGATACAATTATGAGCAGAAAGCTGTCTAGAATATCCAATTTGGCTGATTTTTAATCTTAATTAGATAATGAAGGATATTTTGGGGTACTATGGATTTTCCTAATCGTATTTTCTGCGAGAAAAGGACCAATGCATTATCTTCATGGGATTTGTTTGCAGGGGTTTTTATTGAACTGCTCTTCTAATCATTAAAAGGAAAAAGAATGGTGAATTCTCAATGTCACTTGAACAGAAAGTGGAGTTAAAATTTTTCCTGTTATTTTGCCCCTGGTATACACATTGTGGTGCAGCCTCAAACACATATATTGCTGAGGCAAGCGATTCTGGGAGCATGCAGTAATGATTACACTGCAGTGCAGTGATGTCTGCCAGTCCTAATGAAACCTAGCTATGGTTCTGTGAAGACATTTATTGTTTGATGCCATGCAAAATGGAGTCTTAAGTTATCTCAGATACTTTGTGCCAGGCATTTGCTCATGCCAGCTTTGCTCTGTAACAGTATAAACTGATCCAATAAATAGAGAACATGAATATTCATAGTTTTTGGGGAAAGAGTAGAATTAACCTTCGTGGCTGAGATTTCTGAACAAATCACTCAGTAGCACAAGATATTACTGATATTTTTTTTCTGTATACCTCCCATCATCTTTGCAGGGCTTATCATGGTTTTAGCAGGAGCATCAGAGTTTGATCCTCAGTACAATAAAGACGCTACGAGCAGACCAGCAGACAACGTTCAGATACCACAGGTTAGTTACACTGAGAGAGGTTTTATTACTAACTTACCCCTTCGAGGGAAGAGGGAAATGGCACACTTGTTCGACCATTTGGTGGAATTAAAGTTCTCAAGGCATTAACTGTTAAGATTGCATCTGTACTTTTTCAGAAGTACGATTAGAAGTAAGGCTTGATTTAGAATTAGAAAAAAAAATAACATTAACTGATTGTAAAGCTTAATACTGATAGAATTGATTTAGTATACAACCTATTGGATTGCTTTTTGGAGGAGCAGTGGACTAAATAATGAATTTAAGTATCAGTCCTCATACACGTTGTGTATCCATATAAAGACATGATTGCTGCTTGATAGTTCCTTAGATAGTATTCAGAATTAAAACCAGTTAAATCAGCAGCACAGATCTGGTTAAATATGTTAATGTTGAAATAAAATTATGATCTTGTCTGAAGTAATAATATCTTGAAATATTATGAAGGTTCATCCATGAATATCAATTCCCTTCTGGTTGCCTTTTTTCATTTCCATTCTGTCTTCCTAGCAAAGGTACTGTAATAAGTACTGTGCAAATAATGATTGCTAGCAAAGATTAGGAAATATTTTTTATCAGAGACTGGTGCTTTGGTTTAAAGCACAGTACACAAAATGCTCCACTTAAAAATAGTTTGGGTCTGCAGAATGAGAGAGAGTAGTTGTGCTGATTTAAACTTTGCATGCACGCAGTGAGATTTTCAAGTCATAAACATGTTTTCATACTCTAAACACAAATAAAATAGACTAAGATATCTCCTTACTTAACTGTCCTCATCTCTTACAAATTCTTCATCTTCTCTTGTAGACTTTGAGAAGGAGCTGGAATTATGGTTAGGTGCTTTTCTTTCTTTTTTTTTTTTTATTCAGCCGGCATTTTGCTTGTGAGCATGTGGCTGGGGAAGATCATCTTGATCATCAAATCTTCTCCTGTGCTGTTGCAAACACTGTGGCATTGTGCAAGCCCTTTACATTTGGTCATTTTTCACTTAAAAGACAGTCAAGCCTCCTGCTCCAGAACTTGCTGTTCTAGTAGTTAGCGGTCTTGTTTGTGACAAATTTGTATCTGTAGTTTTTGTCATCATTATTCTTGAATTTAAGTTATTCTTGCTGTGCATATCCTTAATGCATTTATAGTCAGAAACAATAAGCTGTTTGTTTTCTTTTTGCCTTCATTTTGTTGAACTTGGACAGCTGCTGTCTTTCAACACACTTTCCTAGAGGGCTCTTCGTTTCCCTCATCCTGTTATGTGCTGAATGGGGTACTGTTCACTGATATATTTTTAAGTTTGATATTACTTTTCACTTTGGCTGACCTGAACTTCCCACAGTATTCCATGTTAAGTCTCAGCAGTGCCTTAGTTGCATTCCCTGCATTTCCGTGGGGAATAACTTTAAGCATACTGTTCTCCACAACTGTTTCACTTGGGTGCATTAATGTATTCTTCAAGCCTTAATTCTTGTTACTATGCAGTTGTCAACCTTACGTTTTATGCTCCTGAATTTTGTTTGATTTCTAAAGCTCCAGTCATCAGTGTCATCTGTGTTCTTTATTTCTTAATATATGCCAATACAAGTCTCTGAAGTATCAATGCAGAAAGATATTGCTAATCATTTTTGATAGTACATTCTGCTTTTCAGGCCGTTGTCATTGTTCCCATTTTTATTTCACCTTTTTTTCATAAACCTAATATTGACACTTTTTGTAAAACATTTCTTATCTAAGTTTTACTCTCTTGGACTGGTGTGTTACACCAGAATGTGATTATAAGGAACTTCTTGTTTAAAGATTTTTATTTTTTTTTTTAACAAGTGTAGGGAAAGTCTAGTTAAAAGTCAGTGTTGATATCTTAACTTCCCTTTGTGGACAGAGATTTTGGAACCTCAATCTCTCCTCAGGTGACTTGACCTAAAAAGTGAAGCTTCTGGGTTGTCTTGATTCTTATAACTATGAACTTCAGTTACTCAGCTTTGCAGCCTCTCTCTCCAGGGTCTTCAGCAAACTCAGGTGAGAGACCTGTTTGAACTGTGCATCTTGGTCCAGTCAGGATCAAGTTAGGTCATCCTGAATAAAGAACACTGTGCCTTTTCCAACTACGGGCGATTTGTAATTAAGTTAAAGTACTTGATCTTCAGCCTTCAGAGAATTTAGGCTTATAAACCTCCTTCTTTCTGTGATATTTGAGAGTATTTCTGAGGAAGCTGGCTGGATCTCAGGTGAGTGAAGAGTCTCAAGGTGATGCTGTTACTGGTGCATACTCAGTGTAGTATAAACAACCAGCGATATGGCTGAATCTAGTAACTCTTGGCAATATCAGATTCTGAAAATGCTGAACAAGCAATATAAATTTACTCAGTGCTCACTGAAGGCAAGTTTTTTGCATGCCAATCTCTTCTCCTCCTCCCTCCACATTTGAAACAAGACAGTGAAAAATAACTTCTGACTTTTTGGAGCTGTATTATTAAAACAAACAAAGAAACAAATGGCCAATGTTCATCTATACAGATCATTTCAGGGAAAAATTACTTGAAAGCTCGCATGTGTGAATGTAACGTATTTCTCCTTGTAAAATAGTCTTCTCACGTTTGGTTTTCTTTGGCACTGAAATAGCCATTTGTTTAATTATTATTATTTTTTTTTTTTTAGCTAATCAGAGAAATTGGTGGCATAAATTTAAAGAAGAATGAACCTCCACTTACCTGCCCTTACAGCCTGAAAGCCAGAGTTCTACTGTTGACTCATCTTGCCAGGATGAAAGTTCCTGACACCCTTGAAGAAGGTAATGATGTCGCTGTCTAATCAGACACTGTTGTTGGAACAACAAATTGCTTGCTACAGTGCTCATAAATGTAGTTTTTTTATCCATTAAAAAGTTGCATGGATTTCTGCTAAATAATTTATACATAGAACACTTTGTTTTTCAACTTGAATTATCGTTTAAAACATTTACTTAGCATTTTGTCATTCTCTTGATAGCCCAGTAGTACTAGTATCATCATCACTAATGCTTCTTGGCTGCAAAAGTGACTTTGTTAAAAATGTTTTTTTTTTTCTTTGTAATAGACAAAAAGAGATTTGACATATAAAGTATCTAAAGCATGAGAGATGAAACTTTAAAGTATCAATTACGTATGAGTTTCAGTTTTCTATTTTACAGTTCTTCATGCTTGTGAAGATTCAGATAAATTAATGTAGAAATGTTTCACTTTCCTTTAAGCCATGATAGTAGTCATTTCTAAAGCTGACCAGTAAACTTGAGATATTCTATATTTTAATTCAAAATTAAAACAAACAATAAAGATTTTTTGGTTCATTTTCTCTTTTGAAAACAAAAAAGAGAATTTGGTCAATTTAAATTTCCACTAAAAATCTCTCCCCTTCCTTGCTACTGAGATACCGATTCTTAAAACCTCATCATTCTTTATTTATAACCAGATAGTGCTTTACAAGTCATGTTGTTTTTTCCCCAATTTGATGCTTCACTTTAAAATCCCACTTTTAAAAACAAGAGATTACCTAAAGGGTAAATTGTCTGTGACATTACATTGCTTTTTTTGTTTTATCTAATAAGTACTTTGTGTGGAAGCTGTGTGTCTTGTCTATAAAATTTTTGTTCCTTCTTAGTTGTTCTTTCCTGTTTTGCTAAGGAATATTATAGATACTTCAGTGAGAATGAAGTGGTATTTTTTTCAGAAATACAAGAATGAATACAAATGAAGACTGCACAATTAAATGCCCATTTCATGTATACTATTCACTTTTTTCATAATAGAAGTGCAACATAATTGCAGCAAGTGTTGTTTTGCAGATCAGCAGTTTATCCTGAAGAAGAGTCCTGCACTACTTCAAGAAATGATTAATGTGATTTGCCAGCTAATAATAATGGCTCGAAGCCGTGAAGGTAGGGAAAGAAACTGTATAATTAAAAACAGTAAATATCATTCTTCATTGCAGAACTTCAAAAAGAGTCTGTGGTTTTTGTGGAAAACTTAATCTGTGATATTTAGAAATGCCTAAATGCACTTTTTTTCCCCACTGTAATGAAAGAGTTCTCCACTTTGAAGGCTGAAATGCTTCTGTTTCTTCCAAGTCCTGCTCTGAAATCTTGGGTATCTGAGTTATGCTTTTAGTTCTTACAATTTTTGCAAAAGCTTCTCCTTGAATGCTTTAAAAAACCCTTCTCTTGAAGATCAGGTCTGTTTTTTAGTATCAGAGCGCTTAGTATAAGATATATTGTATTCATCCATCTTTAACTTGCATTCTTTTATAGTTCTTTCTCTCCTCTAATGTACATAACTTGTTTTTTGACTTGTTTATTGCTGTCATTCCTTTGTTTTTGTGTTGCTCGAATTTCTCTGTTTCTCTTACTTAAGTTGTTTTGCCTGCTACGTAGACTTTTTTTTTCCTGAATTTTTAATGACAGGTTCTTTGCTAAAATTGTTAAAAAAATGTAATCAAAATATATTACATAAGATTTCTGTTTTTACTATAAAAAGGGAATTATGCTGAAAAGTTTTGTTTGCAGAGTGAGGACTTACATCTTTTTCCTTTATCACAACAAATGTAAGCAGGGCATTTTTAATGCTTAATCCATGACTATTTTGTTGTTTGTCAAGCAGTACTAATTAGCTGGTCTTTACTGGGCCAAAACACATTTAACAAATGTTAACAGCCTCCTAACAAGAAGGGTTTGAGGAAAGATCTTCCCCAACACTGTTGCAAGCACACTGCTGGAAATGGTGTTCTGTAATCCAGTAAAGTGAGAGAGGATGTGAACAATAAAATGCTGTTTTACTACCCCAAAAAAAAGGAAGTATTGAATAAGTGTATTTCTTTTTTTTAATCTCTGCTTTTAACATTCTTAGAGACTGCTGGAGACCAAACTTGAAACCTAGAAATACAGTAGCTGTATTTTTCATTGTGTAACTTAGTGTAGCGTTTTATTTACTGGTGATTATTAGATCATAGGTAGTGGATATGTTTTTGTGAAGCTTCTTTGGACAAGCACCATAACAATGCTGCAGAAGTGCCTCCAGTATGGGTTTAACATTGGGAAACCAACTGCATGGACTTCAACAAGAGCAAGGAGGCGAGGCAACTCTGGATATGTGTACAGAATAGGGGATGAGAGACTGCAGAGGAGTCCTATGGAAAGGGATCTGGGGGTTGTGGTTGGTGGCAAGTAGAACATGAGGCAGCAGGGTGCTCTGGCAGCCGAAAGGGCCCTGTACCATGGGGGCACCAGCCCAGCTGACACTGGGTGAGGGGAGGGCTTGTGCTGCTCTGCTCTGTGCTGTGTGACCTCATCTCCAGTGCTGGGTGCAGGTTTGGGCACCATGATATAAAAAGGACATAAAGCTGTTAGAGAGCATCTGAAGGAGGGCTACAAAGATGGTGAAGGGTCTGCAGGGTAAGACTCCCATGTGTGGGGAGCAGCTGAAAACCCAGAGTTTGCTCAGCCCAGAGCAGAAGAGCTGAAGGGAGCCCTTATGGCAAACTGAATCTATGTAGTTGAAGTATAAAAAGCGCTTGTATGGAAACATCTTTTTTCCTTCCTTATCTCTTGTATATGTCAAATGCAAGTATTTATTTTTACAGAAAAAATCATCCGTCAGACTTTTAGAAATGTCTTTTAAGATGACCTACGTATATTTGTCAAGTAGCTTTTTCTTTTTCCACTTGTGCAAAATAATACAACCAAAAACTGATTTCTTTTACTGTAGTCCAACTGAAAGTCTTTGAAAAATGAAGAATGTTTATATCTCTTGTAAAAGCTGAGATAGGATATCACCATACATTGACACACTCTACAATTTGACCTCCAAGTAGCCATATTCTTCTGTTTTATTATATATTTATATTATTCTTTATTATTCTTCTTCTATGTTTACATAAAGATTCTTTTTTTATTTGGTGAAGTAATGATAGTTTATAGATGTGTTTTATAAACTGCTCTGAAGATCCAGAAAATATACAGCTGTCATTGCATATGGTAGAAATTGCTTCCATAGATAATAGGAAAACAAAGTAGAGGTATATCACTGGGATAGTTGAGCTTAGTATTTCTTTAGCAGTTTTTCTCAAAAATATTTCCACAGCTTTAAAGTGCCAATATTTAGAAACTGAATCTACCAAATCTTTCATGAAAATATTCTAACTGCAGGCTATTAAACTCAGTGTCTTTTGGGTAACATGGTACCAAGTAGTTGTTCTGGCCAATGATAATGAATTTTAGGACTTAAAAGTGAACCACTTAAGAACATTAGGTTTTGATCCACTGGAAAATCTCATGTTTGCTAATTTGTTGCTCAGTATATTAAAACTGTTGGCTCTATTTCTAATGACAGTAGATGCAGAGAGGGTTTTACTCCCTGCTGATTTTCTCATTGGGAACCAACTGGAAATTGAAAAGTTGTTTTCTTAAGATATGAGTGATATGAGTGATATCCAGGTTACATATTGTAATATTTAAAAGCCTTTTTTTTTCTTTTTTTCTTTAAATCTGTATTTGTTATCTTCATGTAATTTTAATTATCATAAAACATAAAATGCAGAAGTTCCTCACTTCAGTTCTAATTTTCAAGTCAGTGACATTGTACTTCAAATTAATTATCATGTGCTAGAGGTCCTTGCCTTTGAAAATACAAAGGTGAAGGCATGAGTTAATATTATCTCTGAAGAAATATTTTGTGGATAAATCATAATTTGTGAAAACACAATTGATAGTTGGATGAGAAGTTCATTGCGTACTACATTTGTTTGTCTTGAAAGTATCAGGTGATATTATCAGTAGTAAAATCTATGCATTTGGAAGCATCTGTAAATGTTTATGTATATTTCTTTGTAATCATCTTTTGAAGAAAAACACCTTCATAATGAATCTTCAGAATCTTGATACTTGGTTCTGTATAGCATTTGACTGTTGGTCCCATGTCAGCTGTTCTTAAAGGAGGTGCAAGCAACTCTGCTGCAAAGGATGACTTACAAGTACCCACAAAAGCCAGGGTTGCTACTTTTTTGTCAAACCCTACTAGAAATAATCTATCATGAAAGAATGAATATAGGTCTTAGTTTTTAACAGATCTATTGTTCTTTGCAAATAAATTTGAGATTCTTCTTAGTTGTTCAGATTTGTTATTTGCAAGAAACAGTTTTGATTTGCTTTCATAAGAGCAGAATGGATATTATTTTCATTCCAATCCAGTCAGTTTTATTTACTGCTGTGACTTTTTTATCTTTGTGGAAAGTGTGGCAGTTGTGAGCCACCTTATAGTACATTCTTGCTGAATTTCTGTACAGCCTGTGAGACTTCTTTTACATTCTGCTGCCTGAAAAATGCACTTTGCTCTGTGGTATCCCTTGCTTATATTATTTTGTATTGATAACTGATAGCTCATAGTGGCCGAAGCTATCTTGTTGGCTTTGTTGAGATCATCATTTAGGTAGAAAGTTGCCCTGTCAAGTGAGGAGTGAGGTGTTTGTTATCAAAAATATGATGTGCTCTGGTAACTGTCCCTAGAGAGATTAAGCATCATCTCAGCTGTCCACACAATTTCATAATTCAGATTGGGAGCTGAAAGTGGAAGTTGTGGTTTGACCCATTCTCTCACGAGCAGCTGTTATTTGCATTTAAACTAGTGATTGATTTCTTTCCTGTCATATGTTTGGAATCACTTTGTGCTTCATAGATTTAAGGTCATCTTATTTTGCGTGCTTTGATAAGCAGAGGCTGTCAAAATGTGCAGTAATTACAATCATATTATAGTGAGAGCAGTTGAGTGTTGTTAAAAGCTGGACTGCCTTCTTGTTGACTTTAAAGGTGATACACATTCCTGTATTAGTTTCAGGGAACTAAAATAATATTTTCTAACTTTGAAGTATTTTCTAGTGTGATGTAGATGGTGAGTTTAATACTTAAAGAAAAATGAATTTCAGCTTTGTGGACTTAAAATAGATAAATTTCCTGTGAAAGCCAGCTTGACAGAGAATATTTTGGACTCTTATTAACTTAGTTTGCAGTATGATTTTCCAGCAGACAACAACAAACAAAAAAAAGCAGGGAATGTTGTAGATAGGTAAGATGAAAGGTATGTTTTGTGCTGTTCAGTTGGGATGTCAGTCTATCCAATACTATTTTTCGGAAGGTACAAATTCTATCTTTGCTTGTTAGAATTTCTAGCCATATAGTTCCCTTCATAATCCTCTGGTGTTATTTTTCTGTCTGCTTTGCATATTAATAAACAGCATGAAGATAATACCTTGTATTTAAAATAAAAAGTCCTAATGTGTAATTTGGTCTGACAGCTGATTACAGCTTGGTGTGATTCATGAGGAAACAGGCCATGTGAGGGGAAAAGGGTGGCAGGAGAAGAGGTGATGATGCAGTGATCTCTCACATGCATTTAACAATCCGTAATAGTTGCATATAGATGTAATTTATAAATGTGCAGCAGGGCAGTGGTAGAAGTGAAGGAGAAAACATGCTGAAGACATCAAGCTTGTTCTCTTCAATCAGATTTGTTATCTTTTCATATTTCCTCTGTAAAATGTTCTAAAATTAATGCGAAATTGTTTTATATTAAAAAAGTAATGAATTGTGGCCACTGGCATTTAAATAGAACACTTAGCAGTTTTTGCTTTGGCTTTTTGTTGGGGGGAAGGGTTGGGGGTGGTGATGGGAATGCAGGCTATGGCCTATCTGCCCTCCGATCCAGATGCAAGTAAAAATGCATTTATCCACACTTAAAATTGCTCTGATGCTGTGTTGTTTGATCATGCAGCCCTAGCAGAGTGTATCTATTCCATCTGGCTATCCATCTATTTATTGAAAGATGCCTGTATTCCTGTTTTAACATCTCAAACAAAGCTGTAACAGCCAAATCCACCTATACCGCATATTCATATTTGTATATACATGTATGTGTGTATGTAAGCACAAATATTTGTATTTATACTTATATACTGAATATAGCTGTAACTGCCAAGGTAATTAAATGTTGATGTCTTCTGGGGAAAGTTTAGAAAAATGCATACAGTAGTTTATAGGGAAACTGACAAGCATCTTGAGTTATAGCTACTTTCTGTAATACTTACTTAAAATTGTCCTCACTTCTTTCATATGCTACATGGAAATTCAGGAGAAAAAAACAAAAACAAAAACAACCTAAGTAGATAACTTATTTTTGTAACTTATTTTTCTTTTTTATCTAACTTATTTTTTCTCTTCAACTGCAAAGTATGTACAGAGCAACCTGAATATTGCCAATTCCAGGCTAGTGGAGGTTCACAGGTTCCTGGAGAATTCTGAATTCTGACTTTCCTGAACAGGGTTTTGAGAAATCTTCTATGTGAATGGACAGTTATCTAAGTATCTCAGTATGTGAAAGTCTGTCTGATGTGGTCTTTTATTTCATTGCAGACAGGATGAATACTACATGACTTTTTAAATACTTTTATTTTTTACTTTTGCTGTTTTCTGCTTAAGAATTTCTCGTTATGTACCTTCTCCTTGTACTTTAAAATACTAAAGGAGTTGCTATTTCTGTAAGAAATAAGTCACCTCCCTGTCCCTGCTGGCCACCCCTCTTCTGATGGAGCCCAGGATACCATTTGCTTTTCAAGCTGCAAGAGCACACTGCTGGCTCATGTTAAATTTTTCATTCATCAGGACACCCAGGTTCACCCAGGCCCACCTTTCTAGCCTATTGAGGTCCCTCTGAATGGCATCCCTTTGTTTCACCATGTCAACTGTACCACTCAGCTTAGTGTCATCAACAAACTTGCTGAGGGTGCATAACAGTTACTTTGCTTTTGATATTTTACACCTGTTATTGTCTTTTAGCATAATGTGCTTTGCTTAGTTTCAGTTATATATACTTCTTTTTTTTCTTGGATGTGCTAGGCTCCAATTTCTATGTTCATGTCTCAAGATGATCTTAGAACCTTTTTAAGTCTCGGAAATAATGTGTTGCAAAAGATTAATGATAGGCCATATTTAATGATACAAAGTACTGGTGAATGTGTTAGATATGTATACATATAATATATGAATGTAAAACAAGTTTTTCTTGCTGCATTTTTTTCTGGAAATTTCAAGGGGTAGAACTCTTGTCTGTAGTTGGTAGCTGAGATACATTGTGCTGTTGTTCCCTGAGACTATTGGATGGAACTCTTTCAATTTCTTAGTGTTTGGCTGTGACAACATAGAGGGAAGGAAATGTTTGCTGAACTATGTGACAATAATGACAGTAGGAAGGCTGCCTGATTAATTATGCTGGGCATTTAAAAATAAGTCTGTCTTCTTATCGAAGAAATTATTATTATTATTATTAATGAAATCAAAGCGGTCTGCAGTCAATAACTCAAGTACACATTGTGAATGTGTTAAGAGGGGGGAAAAACGATGTATTATTTTCCTTTCTCCCCAAGAAAGGGAGTTCCGTGCTCCATCTTTGGGATCTTTGGAAAATTGCATGAAGCTTTCCCAGATGATTGTCCAAGGACTTCAGCAGTTCAAATCTCCCCTACTGCAACTGCCTCACATTGAAGAGGACAATCTGAGGCGTGTCTCTAATCATAAAAAGGTATAAGACCATGAATGACGCTTGTTAATGTATTGAATGATGCTTATTAATGTATTCTTCTTCAGCCTACTTGAAAGAAAGCAAGGTCATAAAATTAACTAAGGAAAAAGAAAATACTGACATTTATTTATATCTAGGTGTGTATGTATCTGTGTGTGTGTTGTCAGGAATTCAGCACAATACCTCTTAGATCTGTGTGTTTATTGTTCTTTTGAAGTCCATCTCTGTTAGGAGGTAGGAATTAAGATTGGAGATCTAAGTGTAAAAGAAGTATGCTGACCTCAAAAACAAAAGAAACACGATACCAATATAGTAGGGGTTTTTTTGGTTTTTTTTTTTTGTTGTTTGTTTGTTTTTTACAGGATTCCCATGCAATTCATTTTTGAAAACATTATGGTTTCCTGGATGTAGGCGTGATCAGCCTCCCTAGAAGCACGAACTTGTTTTTAATAAAATACGTACTTCTGTAATGGTCTGAAGTCACCAAGTTTTCAGACAAATTTCTGTTTATTTTGTCTTCACCACTTTGCTCTGCAGATCTTTTAAAAAAAAAAAAAATTGAATTTATTTGCAATTAATGTACAAAACTAAGTAATTTGTACTTAGTTGTTCCTACAGATGTAAACCACAAAGTACTGAAATATTCTAGCTAAATAAAGAACTCAATTAGTGAGATTTCTTGGCTCAGCTTTCTGAAAAAACTGGCTGAAGCAATAGTTTTGTAATAAATTTATTCCATTTTCTAAAGGATGGTATACTATAGAACATGCCAGTATTTAAAGCAGTTGTTTTTATTAAGTTTGAATAGAAACTCTTTGCTTCATTGCTTCTCAAAACACACTTACTGGTTTTCTAAATAGCGATTTCGTTAATAAGAACGTGTCAAATGTGTATGTATTAGCAACATGGGGACATGAGTTACTTGATTCTCATCATGTCATTATGAGTTTTTTGTGGACTATGTTCTCTACTGCTGTGTGATTTTTTTCTTTTTTTTTTTTCTTCTCTAAATGCAGTATAAAATCAAAAGTATTCAGGATTTGGTGAGTTTGAAAGGTTCTGATCGTCGCAACTTACTGCATTTCCTGGAGGATAAGAAATATGATGAAGTTATGGCTGTCCTTGGTAGCTTTCCATATGTCACTATGGATATAAAACCACAGGGTGAGTAGCAGGTCTTTTCTGTATATGTCACCCTCCTGACATTTTGGTAGTCTATTGGCAGTAATCTTCTGGAGGCTTCTGAGACGCAACTCGCAGTTATTTATGTGCCTTGAAAATGACATACTTTCATGAGTGACAGGCTATTGTACATGAGATTTATACTGTGACAAGATAAAATACATTACAATATTTAACAGTTTCCCAAGCCACCTATAGTTTCCTGCAGGAGCTTATCTGATGTTTCAGCTGTTCATTTAATATTTTAAGAGCAACGTGGAATTCTGGTTGAAATAGCACTTTTATTAGCTATCTTTAAAAAACTGTGCTTATTCCAGAATTTATGTTCAGTTTATTCCAGTATGGAGTGTCAGTTAGGAGATCTTTCAATTAGAGATTTTGACTACATGAGTTTTTGTGATCACCTTTGCATGGCTTTTGTATATGGCAGAACTTTTCCATGCTATGCAAAATGTGGCTACATTTCGTATGCACTGTATCAGAGCGCATAATGCTCTTACTAATGCTTAAAATTTCACAGTGAAATATTTATTTCTCATACTTTGACAAGCAAACCTCTTCTGTCTATGCTTTGTTACTCAGCGTGAAGAGGAGTGAACAATGCACATACTTTTCTGTTTAGTTCTGTATTAATATTTTATAAAATACATTGATGTAAAACTAATAAAGGTGCTTTCCTGGGGAGGGAGATAAATAAAATTTCTACACTGGGATATAATTATATTCTTCCCTGAGACGTTCTCAAGCTCATAGACTGCAGAAATAAACTCCTCAGAGGCTTTCCTGTGGGTTTAGTGTTTGATATTTTAGTTAAAGTAATCACTGCTGTTCTTTTACTTTCCTTTGCCTCTATTTAAAAAAGAATTAAATGCATGATTGTGAACGTGGCCTTGAAATTGAGTTGTTAATCATATGAAAGCCAGGAAAATCAAAGTTACAATTCCCGGAGCTAATATAACAAGGTCCTTTTGGTCGTATGTGGTATTTCATGTTTCTGAAATGTTCCACTTTAATATATATAATGCACAATATAATTGAATTACAGTTCCCACAACAATCTTAACTTTGATTTATTTTTTTTTTTTCCTAACTTCCATGCAATTAAAATCTCAAACTCAATGTTGCTGTTTTATAGTTTGCTGAGTGACTAGCCCTCATCCTGATGGAGCATTTGATGTTATAAGATACTTACTAAAAATATTTTGAGATTGTATGCTTACATTTAGACATAACAATGCCAAGATTTTTTTCAAACAGAAAATAATTTAATAAGTTAATAGATTCCTTGCTTTTCTTTTTATGCTAGTTTTGGATGATGAAGACAGCAACAATATTACAGTAGGTTCTCTTGTCACTGTTCTGGTCACACTAACGAGGCAGACCATGGCAGTAAGTATTAAGATTACTTGTTTGATGTGGCTAACTGCAACTATGTGCTAATAAGCAAGCATTTTTTAATTGGGGAACTAGTATGTTGTTTTGCAAATGTCACTGTAAAATTACAATTTGAATCTGAGGACTTGTGCTCTTAACCCTTTCTTATATTTCTGTTTCTGAATAAGACAGCTGTCCTGGGATTAAAGTCCAGCCAGACTCATTGCAGCTGACTAGGAAACAGTAAAAGAATAGACAGATGATACTGCCCTGTGATTTTTAAACATCAGAAAAAAAACATTCAGAAACTCAGTTCTTGAGCTAGAATGAAGTGTTTGCTCTAATACTTATATGTTTGAAATTGATTTTCCTTTATGTGGATTCATAATGCTAGAAATCCATTGATTTTTTGGACACTTAGAAACTCAGTCCAGCAAAATGTGGCATATATACAACAAAATAAAGGAGGTACACTTGTGCCATAAGAAGGAAGTAGCAAATAGCAATGTGATGTGATTGAAATAATACTGCATCCTAATTGTTAAACTTCTTACTTGTGCTTACTTACCTTAAAATCTAGTAATGATGTTCTTTGAACAAAGAACTTAGAAACAACTAATTTTTACTCAATGTAGCCTATAATATAAATTTTTACATTTGTAATATTCAGATAATTGTTTTAGTAAGTGGGAAGTCTGTGTTAAGTCACTAAGATAGGGCATACAAGCATGAGCATAACTGCTGGGGACTAGACTGCACACTGAAGCTTAACAGAAATTAGTCTATGTATCTACATTGTGTTCCTGTTGAATTTCAGAATGGAGCATTTAGATGTAACTAAAGATACTGTAAGTAGAAAGTTGACGTACCACGTCACTCTACTGGAGGAAGCTAAACATTATAAACAAATTTAATTGTACTGAGAAATTCATTAAATGGTCTGACAGTGGATAGAAGAGTGGTTAAAGATGCTTTCTAGAATGAACTCCGCTAGGCAACCTGTGGAGTTAAGGTTAAATGGTGTAAAATGGGAGCTAGCCTATTATATGATGCTTTTTTTGGAGTGGTATCTTATATCTGCCATCATTCTATAAGACACATCCTTAAATTTTTTGGATGTTGTTTTCAGTGGTGTATTTTATGTTTTGAAGTAAGATATGCATGAAAATGTTCACTTTATATATAGATATTCCAGTCTACAGAATACTAATACTAATTGTGTTTTTGTCTTAATGTTTCATATTTCTAGTCTAATTGTCATCTTGTGTCCCTGAGTAGCAGTGCAGCTGTTAGTTTTTAATGCTCTGGCAATTGGAGCAGAATTTGCATTTTACTACTGCTTGATTTTGTGATGCAGGATTTCTGTTTTATAAGACAATCAGATTCTCTGGAACAAGATGACACTTTTTTCTTTTTTTTTTTTTTTTGCTAAATTTCTTTTTAATGCTTGTGATAGGAAAATCCCAGACCAAATGTTTGAAATGGTGTTTAATTTTTATGTGTTAATCCCTTGTGGTGTTTGTCCCTTTCAGACCCAATTTCACTGTATTTAGCTTAAGTTCTACTATGAATTCAACTCTTTCATTATTCACTCCTTTGGTACAGAGGGGCACTAATGCTTTTCACATGTTTCTCTGTCAGGAAGTGTTTGAAAAGGAACAGTCTATATGTTCAGCGGAAGAGCAACCAGCAGAAGATGGAGTAAGTTAAGAACAAATGTTCCTCTTGCCTAACTGAAAGAAACTCTCTTGAGTTGCTCATCTTGCATTTCTCAAGCAGCTTTTTCAGAAACGCCTACTAGGTGTCTCTTGAACTCTGCTTTCTAACTTTGGTTCTCAGCTAAAATGCTTGAAGTGCAGTAAATGCCTGAAATTTTGATGAACAGAAAAAAATACTTTAAATACTGCTTTCTTGCAGCAAGGAGATAGCAACAAAGTTAAGAGCAAAGGATGGCAACAAAAGAATAAAGGAACCAAGAAAGCTTCAAAATCAAAGAAAAAGAAGCCATTGAAAAAGAAACCTGTGCCACCTTCATTGCAGCCACCGAAACAGCAGAAACAAAAGCAAGCTAATGGGGTAGCTCATAAATTCATTGATATTTTAACTTTATGTTCAGTTTATCGTTCCTAAATTGACAGAGTTTTTTTGTCTCTTAATTCTATTCTTCTATAAAGTATATTTTCTGAAGTACTTTCTGTCCTGAAATTTAAAAACCAGTGGTAAAATTTTAGGTAACGACCCTAGTAGTATATCTTGTGTCCCACTGGAAGTTGTGCCTGTCTAGTTTAGAAGGCTGTCGTCTTATTTGCTTTTTATTACTTTTGTTATGCTGCCATCTGGAAGATGAACAGTTCTATACTTTTTGCTGTTCATTTAAGGGCAAAAAGGAGATGAGGTTTTCCTCTGGTGTATTAAATAAGTTTAGTACCTTTACGTTCGCTCCGCATGATGTTTTCTCCATCTCTCAGGCCGTGTTGTAGATATTTTTCTTACATTCTCTCTGCTTTTTGTATAATTTCTTTGAAATGTCACCTCAAAATCAAACTGTTTTCTCCTATTTATGTTGCTGATGTCATACAGAGAAGAGACATTGCTTCCCTGTTCCCCTTGAGACATGTAGTCAAAAAATGATCTTCACTGTACACTTCTCAGTGATACAGGAAGAGTGTTGTTCAAATAGGAAGCGAGGGCCTTGACCTTAAAACGTGCTGTTAATGCTACATACTACCATAATGCAGACAAACTAAGAGTTGTGTTTTCCGTTGTTATTTTCCCCACTAGGAAGTAGTTGTGAAGGAAGAAGAAGAGGAGATCTCTGATAAAGGAAGTGAATCTGAAGAAGAAGAAACAAACAGGGACTCTCAAAGTGAGAAAGATGATGGAAGTGACAGGGAATCTGACAGAGAACAGGATGAGAAACAAAACAAAGACGATGAAGCTGTAAGTTTGTTGTTTTTTTTTTTTTCCAAGGGTAATGTTACCACTGGGATTGAAAGAAAATGTGTTTTAATCCTCTAGCATTGCCTCAGGCTAGGCAACACTAGAATGAAGGAATGATGCTGGTACTCCAGAGGTTTTCAGTCCTTATTCTGGCAGAAGTGCTTTGTCTGTTTTAGAGAGAACAGTGAAAGGTCTTTGAAGCATGGACAGAAAGCTTAAAATGACATGAGAAAAATAACTTCAGGGAGAGATTATAATGTTTCTTTCAGTTTAATTTGATTATTAACTGCTACAGATTGTGAAATAAAACCTCTCCTTTGAACTTTGTTCTTTATATGCAGTTATTGTTGCATACCGCTGCAAGTGTGCAGTAATTGAAGGAAATCATACATGCCTGATATGAAAACTTTGTTCTTTATATGCAGTTATTGTTGCATACCGCTGCAAGTGTGCAGTAATTGAAGGAAATCATACATGCCTGATATGAAAACTTCAGGGAGAGATTATAATGTTTCTTTCAGTTTAATTTGATTATTAACTGCTACAGATTGTGAAATAAAACCTCTCCTTTGAACTTTGTTCTTTATATGCAGTTATTGTTGCATACCGCTGCAAGTGTGCAGTAATTGAAGGAAATCATACATGCCTGATATGAAAACTTTACTCTTAATAATTAGCTGAGTCTTTTGAAACTGTGGCTTAAGAGCTTGCAATTGGGAATGAGGCATTATGGATGTAGATGACTTCTGCACCACAGATCTTGCAGTAGAAGACTCCATAGGCAACTGGAGGCCTCATCGAGGATGAGAATAAGCTTCTGATTTGAAAAAATAAAATCATCAGGGCACTGACAGCTTACATAGTGTTTATAGGCAGTGCTGCAGAGGGGAATTCTAAAGATTGTGCACAACCCTGCAGATCTGTGATTTGTTTTTGTTTTTTAAAATACTTAGAAGTGATCTCTTAAATTTTACCGTTTTACTGTTACTTGTTGTGGTGTTTGGTTTTTCTTTTTTTAATTGTACTTTATAACCTAATCTCTGTGCCTCTCTCTTTCATGATATATAATGTAGCACAGTATGAGAACTTGTCAGAGATAGCTTTTCCATGGAGAGAGACATACATACACACTCGTTTTATTTTTGTGGGGTTTTTTTTTTTGCTAGGAGGTGGCTAGTGCATAGTAACTCTTTAAATTTGTCTTTGACAGGAGTGGCAAGAACTACAGCAAAGTATACAGAGAAAAGAACGAGCCCTTCTTGAAACCAAGTCAAAGATAACACATCCTGTTTACAGTCTCTTTTTTCCTGAGGTCAGTAATAGAAAACTTGTATGGTTGTGAGTCGTAAGAATTTATATAATTAATTGCTCTCTATATATTTTACAGGAAGTTTGAGGCTTTTTAAAGAATCTTTTAATACTTGAAAAGTTGCTGATCTTTAATTTAAAAAGTTTGAATTTCTAAAATCCTCTTAACTCCCCTCAGATACTTTCATAAAACCTACTGTTGCAATATTCTTTCTACCCAGAGACTTGCAAAATTGTATATAATTAAAAGTTCTTCTTGACAGCAACAAAGCTAAGGTTTTCTTCTGCTGATTTATTACATAAGGATAAAATCAGAATTAAATTTTTCTGATACAGTGTTCTAATTTATAGTACTTTTCTTCCCTTTGTGCTATGGAGCATGAAAGCCCAGCAGTAACTCTAGTACAGAATTAAGGTATAACAATACTTCTTTAGCAAACTGCAAGCATCTGTGAGAGAGGGAGTTCCTGCCCTGTGTTAACAGTAATGACAGCAGAGTCTGGGAAGCTGTTTAGATCGCTGGTAGTTCTGGCTTGCTGCTTGATTCAGTGCAACAGCATGGTGGCAACACAAGGGTGAAGCTAGAGATGAAGTTGTGGAAGTTGGAGAGGGTTAGCAAAGCTGCCCCTGTACAAGAGTGTATTCTGGAAGTGGTGCAAGCCAGTCACAGACTTGCAATAGACAGTCTTGTCTATTGAGCTTAAAAGCACAAGGGCAGGTTTGAGGAGGTGTCAGAGAAAGGAAAGGGGGATGTATTTAAGAAAAGTGCTTCAGGATTGTACATAAAAGGTGGTGTCTCTGTGGCAGCCTTAGATGTTGAAAAGTCCCATTGGTTGTTTCTTATGCAAACTGCTGACCAGTTCACAGGTAACTGAAAACCCATCACAACAATGAAACTTTGAAAAAGATGGGACTTTTCAAATGTGGCTTTTATGTTCTGAGCAAGTAAGTTAGGTTTCTGGGGGATGATCAGATTGGAACCAGAATGGAGTGTTTGGGCATGCTTTCTTTCTGGGCCAGTGGTTTAAAGGGTTCCCTTTGCTTCCCTGTTGATTGACTAGGATGCTAATCTAGGATCTCTTCTGCATTGTGCTGGCTCTGGTAACTAGAGTGTGTGAAAAGCTTGTGCTTCCTTTTTAAAGGAGGTAACTGGGATGAGGAATAACAGGAAAACATAGGTGAAGAAAAGGGTGCTGTATACTTACTCCTCCTCTTCACTCCCCAGGACTCTTTAAACACATGCTTGTTGCATTCCCTTTTGTCCCTGTGCTTGTGATCCTATTATTCCTACTGCTTTTAACCAGATCTGCCAACTTTAGGAAGCGAAGTGTGGGAATCACGAGTCTTCTGGACCTCTGTAGAGGTGAGGGTGTAATTGCAAGATCAGGGATCTGACCAATTAGCCTTTATTTTCTTACGTGATTTCTTCTTAATTGTTTCTAAGGAGCCAGGCAATATATACTATACTATAAACTATACCAAAGAAACTGTCTGCTTAAAGACCTTATGTGAGAATTATGCTGCCTCACGATGTCCAATTTTGTAACAACTAATCTTAATGCTCAAGCAGTGAGTAAGTGCTAAGCCCAGGACCAGAAAGGTGCTGACAATTAGTATTTCTCTCTTTTACTGCACCAGAGCTTCCAGGCTTCAATCAGAGACTTTGCTTTAACTTGCTCTTAAGAAATAAGCTGCCTAAACCTCAGCTGTGTTACACACAGCTGCTGATGGATTTTGTGATAAAAATACAGTAGTGTAGCTAAAAAAAAAAAATAATAATCTAGCACTGAACTGTATGTTTGAACTTGAAAGATACACGTGTAGTCTCATGGTATTGCTGTTATAAGTTTTCCAGTCTTCACTGATTTCCTGAAAGTTAAATGCAGCTGTACTTAGTGCTGCAGTTGGAGCATATTCAAACCTGTAAAATCTGAAGAACAAAGCACTTTGGGCAGGTTTTTTTCCCCTCTGTGATTTATACTGTTACTTATATTGTGGTCACTGCCAGTTCAGAGGTGTTAAGGATGAAGTGTTGTATCAATCCCTGTATTTCCAAGGTTTATGGATATTGGAGTGTAGCTGAGCCTCATGTAATGGTCCTCAGGAGGCAGTCCTAACACCATCATGTAAGTTTTTAGGCAGTTGATTGCTTTGCCAGCGATGAATCTTTAATCTATGCAGGTTCCTAAATAATTATCTTCTGCTTCCACATCCGTAAATCCAGAAACTGCACAGATTGTAGTTTTGACATTTTTAGGTAGAAACTGGTCCTGCTATTCCAATTTTGTGAGCATATTGGTTCACTGGCATGCCAAACCTTGCACCCATCTGTTAAAGGGCATTTTGCCCGTTTGCCTGTTAGCTTGCCAGATCCTCACAGACATAAACTTGAAATTCCACCCAATGAGAAAGCAGAAAATGACACTCTTGCACAGTTGTCCTTTCTGTAAAGAATTACTTTGTGTTCAGGAGTTTTACTTCCAAAGAGTTTATGCTATAGAATCCTTCGAACATTAATGTCTTTTTGATCTATAAGCTGGTGTCAACAGGGATAGTTAACTTTCTTCCTAGTAGCTGGTATGTTGCTGTGTTTTGGGTTTAGAATGCTAATAATGCTGATAACGCACCGATGTTTTAGTTGCTGAGCAGTGATGACACAGAGTCAAGGACATTTCAGCTTCTCATGGTGCCCCGCCAACAAGGAGTTGGGAGGGACCAGCAGCAGGACAGCTGACCCAGAATGGCCAGGTGGATATCCCATATCGTGTGACACTAAAGTGGGGGAATTTGGGGGGAACAGATGCTGCTTGTGAGCATCAGTGTGTGGTGAGCAGTTGCACTGTGCGTCACTTATTTAAATATTCTTTTATCATTATTATTATTACTTTCCCTTCCTTTCCCATTCAATTAAACTGTGTATCTCAGCCCACAAGTTTTACTTTTTCTCCCATTCTCCCCACCTACCCCACTGTGGGTGAGTGAGTGAGCAGCTGTGTGGTACTGCCTTGCTGCTGGGTGACATCACAGCAGGCCTTGTACTACTTACACTGTCTAGCTTTCTGTTCTTAGAACCCTCTTGGCTAGGAAGTAAATATCTCTACTTCTCCACTACAGCTGTTAAGGAAATTGACAGTGTATTATTTATTGCTGAAACTTAGAGTTAATGTAATTTATGGCTTATAATCATATAGGACAGTCATAAGTAAAGTCGCTGAGAATAGTTGAAACGAGTTGTTTGTAACTAATTCTGGTCCAAGCAGTGGCCACATAGTTTTGTGTCCTGTTCTCTGTGCCTGCTGTTGTAAACACACGGAGTAATGCTGTTGCTTTGCTGTGATGCAGTTGCTTTTACTTTTATACACTGAAGGATGGGCATTACCATATTGAGTCAATTTTACACTCCTTTGCTCTGGGATGGAGCAGTGCCAATCAGGGTCTTTTGGTTAATGGTGTGTGTTCTGCTGTTATAAATCTATGCTTTGCTAGTTGAATATTTCACTGAGGTGACGGTAATCTTTTCTTGCATAGAAACTAGCCATTAGCCACTTTTAAAGAGAAAAATTAAATTCTTTAAGTTTTTCTTTTCTTTATTTTCTACTTGCATTATATGGATTTCAGACCAGGAAACACTGGTCCTAAAGTGTTCAAAAAGGGAAAAAAAAAAACACTGAATTTTGGACTATTGAGGGGGAAAAAAAACTACTTCTACATGTTAGCAGGATTTGGTTTCCACCTGTGGAATTTGGACAAGGCTTAGCAGTGTCATTAAAGCCCTCTACACCCTTTCAGTCAGTCCTTCCACAGAATCACAGAATGGCCAGGGTTGGAAGGGAGCTCAAGGATGATGAATCTCCAACCCCCCAGCCACATGCAGGGCCACCAACCTCCCCATTTAATACCAGACCAGGCTGCCCAGGGCCCCATCCAGCCTGGCCTTGAACATCTCAAGGGACGGACATCCACAACCTGTCTGGGCAGCCTACTAATATTCCAATATTGTTAGATTTAAAAACAAAAGAGCAGCATTCTTGCAGCACTGAAACATCCACGTGGTGGTTAGTGGTATAAATACACAAAAATTCATCTTCTGGTTTGGAGCTCAACTTACATAGCTATGATAAGACATCCTCTTTAGGGCTTCACTCTGTTACAAACCTGACCAGTTACCAGACTGTCAAGAGTGTGTAGGAATTGTCTCATAACATAGCAGTGTAACATTTGAATTGTCTAAAAGGCATAGGGTGTTTCATCCCCATTTTCTCCTTAAAGGTAAATTTATACTGTTGTGACTATTAAACTTGTCTCCTGTTCCTTTTCCTCACTGTTTTATTTTCATCTCCCCATCTCTTTGCTATGTATTGTTCTTTTATTTATTTTTTATTTTTTTCTTAAGAGAAGACTTCAGGGAATTATGGAAACTTACATTGTGGTACTGAACTAACCTTCCAATAGAAAGCTTTTATTTATTAAATCAACATAGGATTTTGTTGCTGTTGTTCTAAAACGTGTATTAGAGGGTTAGCCAAAAAGGAGTAGTGGTTAAAGGAGTGATGTACAGTAGTGGTTAAAGGAGCTGTGCAGTTGTTTCCATTTGAGAATGGTTGCTGCTGAACTGCACCACAGTCTTAAAAATCCGGTTGAGAGATAAATTATTATTTTTGCATGGTAACTTGCTGTCTTTTATGAGGGGTGACCTGCATTTAAATTGTTTAGGAATTCTGCTTTAGTACTTTTCGTACCTTCGAAACCTGTAGTTCTTTTAAAAGCTGTGTATGATAAACAACAGTTTGGTATCCTTTACAAATATCAATATTGCATACAGTTCCTTGAAGTGAAACATTGCTACGTCCAAATTGCAACTTTCGGCAGATTCCTGTCTTTGGGAGGAGGAGAAGCAAACCGAGGCAATACATGCTTTCCTGGAAAAGATTATTTACTGGGAAGAGCACTTTTAACTATCTTGTAGCATGCTTTGCTGTGCATGCTTTTCATCCAGGCTGGGTTTCTGTCAGATGACCCAAGGTAGTATTATGTGGAATGGATGATATTGCTCCAGTGTGACATTTGCTCAGTAATTCTCTGTGGGCACAATTCTTCAGAATGGTTGTATGACTGACACGGTATCTTAGGCTGGCTATGTGGAATGAAGCCTTTAGAGTCAAACAGCTACTTGTGATAACCTGGTTGCTTTTAGTATGCAGCATATACTGTTATTTTTGTTAACACGTAGCCAAAAGTTTTTAACTCACCCATTCTGCCCGACCAGACACACACAAACCTTTGTACCCGTATTGTAAGGCCCAGTGAGTCATAACTGCCAGCTGTCAAGTGTGGAAGCATCTTTTTGTGACTTGTCTTTTCTTAATATTTTATTTTCTTTCCTTTATGAAAGGAAAAACAAGAGTGGTGGTGGCTATATATTGCCGATCGGAAGGAGCAGATGCTAATATGTATGCCATATCATGTTTGTACACTAAAAGATAAAGAAGAGGTAAGTACTGGAAGAATTTACTTTTCGAATATTACAAAACCACACTGAAGTGTCTCATGGTATGCAAATATGCAGATACATTTAATTGATTTAAATTTTAACTTTTTCATACTTGTCATACTTTTTACTGTTTACTGTCATACAAATTTTACTGTTCTGATAGAGGCAGACAAGAGCCTTTTAACTGTGAAAATTGATAATGGAAAAAATGAAAAAAAAAAAAAAATTAAGAGGCCTTTTAACTTTGTTTCCAGATCATATGTTTTTTTTCTTGATATCAATAGCTGATGAAAACCCGCATTCATACAAAATAATCATTTTGTATGAATGAGAAAGTTATTCAAATGTTTAAGAAGTACTGACTCCTCTTTTTCTGTAAAAACAGAAGCAGTGACAAATTAATTAGCCTCAGCTCACATGAGCCTTTCTGAGACCATAAGTTTTTGCTGTGTTTTCATTTTTTCTGAAAACTGGAGATTTGGTGTATTTTGTACTTTCGAAATGGATTTCATGTTCCAATTCAAATAACAGAAGAGTTAAGCTAATACTTCCAGCAGACTCAATTTTTAAACCTGTTTGGATTTTGAAGATGTAGGAAGTGTACAACAGGGCGATGTTGTGTACTGAAAAATGTACAGCTACTTTGGTCTAAACTGGGGGGGAAAAAATGACTCATTATTTGTCTTTAATGGGAGTTATTGTTCTTGGCTATTCAGTCTCTTTTCTGCAGATATTTTATAGCGTAGAGATTCTCGGATATATGTCACTCATAAGAAACTCAAAAAAAAAAAGTATTATTCTGTAGTAGTACTTATTGTTCATTAGAGTACTCAGTTGTTTGTTTTTGTGTCGCTTCAAAGTAGTAAGAATTCATGGAATGGTTTCTGTTTTGCAGGTGGAGCTGAAATTCCCAGCACCGGGCAAGCCTGGAAACTACCAGTACACAGTTTATTTAAGATCAGATTCGTATATGGGTTTGGACCAGATTAAACCATTGAAGGTGATGTTTAATGAGATTATGTGTTACCTGTTTAAAAACAAACAAACAGCCCCATTATCTTTAAGAATTCAATATGTTCTAATTTTAATGTTGCTTATTTAATCTGCCTGATCCCAGTAGTTGGAAACATTATGTTGGATTAAATAGAACTAAAGTTTGTGATGCTTCCTAGTGTGTGCATTTTAACACCTTTTTTTTCATATTGCAGAATTTTTGCAATATAATTTGCTCTGGCCTTGAATCTTGAGCTCTGCCATGCAATTTCTCTCTGCCTACATACATCCAGTTAATAGGAAAATCCAGCATGCCTATTTACCAGAAACAGATTTTTTTTTAACTGTCATTTTTGTGCAGCACGTCCTTTTTACTTCTGTTTTTATTCTCTTAGTCTGGTTTGTGTTTTTTGTGACTCTTTTTTCCCTCTTTTCTTTGTTTCTCTTAATTCAATTACAGCTGGAAGTTCATGAAGCAAAACCAGTGCCAGAAAATCATCCTCAATGGGATACAGCAATAGAAGGTGATGAGGACCAGGAAGACAGCGAGGGCTTTGAAGACAGTTTCGAGGAAGAAGAGGAAGAGGAGGAAGATGATGATTAAAACAATACCGTTAATTAACTACGATATCTGCACACACTGCAAACTCTTGGTCTGACTGTGGAACTGTACAATAAACAAGAAACGCAGTACAGAAGCTTTGAGAAGGCTGAGTTTAATTTTTCTTTACCAATTAAGAGTGCATTATGTATCTTCTCAGTGGAGGTGAAACAAATCTGTTGCCATTGATACAACCTTGGAATATGCTTACGGCTCATTATAGCCTTCGAGTGCAGGATGGTGCATTTGTTTCAATTGAAAATAAAAGCTTTTTTATTATAAATATCTGGAAGTGTGGGCTATGTATTGTCTGATGAGGTTAGGGTCCAATTTAAATAAAAGGTACTACTAGCTAGGACAAAACTTAAAATCAGATTTTCTGCATTAGAAATTTATTTTAGAAGACATCTTGGTGTAGTTGACATTACACATCTCTGTTGACTGAAACAACATCTGCTCAACTTTCAAACTTGGTTTCGTGGTATTCTTTCAATATTTTGCTGTGAAACTGCTCACATCATTCATAGCTTTAAAAATCTGTTTTACTTAACTTGATTAGTATCAATTAACACCATACCTATTGCCACATTCCACTTATACCAGAGGGCTGCTTTTTTAGGACTGTTGTCTTTTTATGCCCAAGATAATCATAGAAATCAAACTTTTCTGACTCTGGCTTAAAACATTTTTAAGCCTTTATTTCACCAGGTCAACAGAAGCTCTGAATCTTTTGATAAACAGAATACCTGAAAGCATCTTTGCAACCATGTGCTACGTAAGTTGGTGGCTTTTGTTTAATGCCTTTGTAAAAGGTAAATGCTGGAAAGCCAAAAGTACAACATGCAAAGAGTGCATGTTGTGTATCAGTTTTGAATTTTCATCAACAACAACAAACTGGAAAAAAATGATGCCTGGTTTCACTTGTAATAATGTGCATCTCTTAAAGTTTGGAGGTATGTTTTTTTTCAGTCTCCTTCAGGTCTGTAAATAAGACAGTGATTCTACCCAACCCATTTAGAAAGATTAGATATTAAGTTCAGGGAAGAGAGAATCAGGGCTGTTGGTTTATTGTGTGACTTGTCAAAAGCAACAGACAGGTTCTTCTTCTTCCCAACTATGACAGTGCGATGGTGTGAGACATGGGACAAGCTGTCATGCAGAGAAAACTCCATCCTATGAAAATCACCCAAGGCCAGGTCAGCTGTGCACTAATTTGTGACCTTGTTTATTAAAAAGGGATGTCACTTTAAATGCAAATTTACATTGATATATTCTTTGTAATTGCAATAGTTGCAAATAAAATCTGAAAATGTTCTAAATGAGGTTATGGTATCTTTCAAAGTGCTTCTGAAGTGCATATCATACAGAAAAAACTTGTAAAGCTTAAACAGTGTCAGGTGTTCAAAATCAAGTATGAAGTCTAGGTTTACTTTAAGTGACTCGTACACTTGTCATCTTTTAACTCCATTTCATTTGCAAAATGCAGTAAAGAATTAGCAATAACAAGCACCGGTTGCATTCCGAAGTCTCTCAAGCCAGACACTGCCCTGGTGAGTGACATGCATGAAGAATAGGTGCTGGACACTATCATCAAGCAGGCAAAATGAATGCCAAACTTGCATTGTCCTGCCAGAGCAATTCATAGTACACGTGCTGTTGTGAAGAGTTGGAAAGAGTTAGGAGAAAATAATGATAATAATCATAAGCATAGGAAGGGGGGGGAGCATTCTGACTACTGGTTTCTAAATTTTACTGTGAGATACTGAGTTATATTTGCAAGATGCAAATGCTTTGAGGTGACTTAAAAAAAATGTCTGATCCGAACAGTGAAGTATTTTCTTCTTTGAGATTAAAGATAACAGCTGGGGTTGCAGGTTATGCACTGAAACTAGACTAACCATGGATAATTGCTGAACTAATAAGGCCTAAGTCTAATTCATTTTTCTATGTTGCTTGTCTGTATAGTCAAGGTAACCTTATAGAAGGTGCAAGAGGATGAACTGCAAGGGCGTTGGAAATTTAGCTCATATTGCAAAGAAGGCAGGCTGATACTTTCTCTCCTAAAAATGTTAGCAATATAGTTGTGTGTCAGTTTACAAATCTGCTGAGATGGGTGCAAATCTGGGGATGAGGAGGTGTTGAGGAGCTTCATGTGAATAGATATCTGCATTCTGCAGATGTACAACTGAATGTTGCATTATTAGTTGATCTGTTGTGTGTCTGACCATTAATAATAATTTCTGAGTAGCGGTTTGAATTGTGACCACTGAGTTACTGGCATAGGTAAAACAGGAAGAAATGGTGTTTTGTGTTCACTGTGGTTTATGTCTCATGTTTTGAGAGGATTTAGGAACAAATTCAACCAATTTGTTCACTTAGCTCTTCTGAATCTCTGGACTAGTAACTGGAGGGCAAGAAAGGAAGAAAATCTGCTGTGCTGCTGCACCCTGTGCAGTAGTTTCCTAAGTAAAACTTGGAAGCATCTACTATCGCTTCAGTGTAAGTAGACTCCCTTCTGTTGGAGATCGGAGGAGGTCCTGCCACTCAAGCAGAGGAGCTCCTGATGCCTCCAGGGTCTGTAGAGGCCAATTCCATGGACGTCTGCTTGGACTGGAAGAGGGAGGTGGGTGGTGCAGCACCTCTGGCCTTGCTGCTTCTGGCCCAGCTTAAATATCGGTGTGGGAAACGGTGACTTGTGGCTGGCAGATGTAAGTACGGGAAGTAGATGTGGGCTAAATTTGAAGTAGATATGCATGAGTAAAAGGAACTAATCATAAAAGTGATTTTTGTTTGCATAAAATGCCGTAAGCTTCCTGCCCCCCAAATGTTATCAGTGGTCAATTAACACTGAAGGAAACATCACAACACTTCTTTCTGGTCTGCTGCACGACAGCTATAAAGCTACAGTCATATGAAATCATGATAAACCCTTTCAAAACCTATTGTGAGGGAAGAAATTCTAATTTGTGCAGGAAAGTGATACTTCTATTTAAAATCACTTAATTTCAGTAATTCCAGCTTTTCCTCCAGCAGGGGGAAGCAGGGGTATGAATTTGTTCAGGATCCACTGAAGCTGTTCCATTGGATGCCTTGCTGGCTTTTATCTGTGGGTTTGGTTTTGTTTTCCCCCCTCCTCTCCTTTTTACTGGAGGCAGAAGGCATAGATGAAGGTTTATTTAATCTATTTATTTTGTTTTTAACTCTTGCTTCTTCAAAACTACTGCTTTCCTCTTTTTTAAAACGTCTATTTATCTGTGTCATCTAAAAACTGCTGAGGAAAATCCATTCTAAGATAGGAATAACAATAAAATTTTTTAAAGATGGAGCCCCTGGGATGGGAAAGGCAGATTCTTTTAAGTAGCAGGAATTAGCGTGTTAATGAGTCCATCTTGAGGCTTAAGCATTACTTTGGAAAGGAATTTTCCTCAGTGGACGTCTTGCAGGTATGTCCAGCTCAGCTGTACTGTAAGATCTGCCAAGTTGAAATCTGTTGGTCGGTTCTCTTTCGAGTGCCCATACCTGGAAGACCAGATGTAGGGGTACCAGGAGTGCTGGGCTGGTCACTGCCTGTGTCCTCAGCACGTTGAGACCTGATAGATCAGTGTACCCAGCAGCCAGTGTCTTTGAAAGCTGCACAGTGCTGGGATGCTCTCTGTTCTTATTATTCATCAAAAACTTTGCAAGGCACAGGATTTCTTTATTAGAATTCGAATATATGCTTGAATTCCTTTTATTCTCCTGTTTGAGCATCTTCTTCATTGCCTGTGTCATACTGGGGCCTTAGGAAGTCAGGGACCAAACACAAAAAAAGGTGCATGGGATAACTTTGGGCGATTTCAGCTAGGGATTGAACTCCAGACGTGATACCAAAATTGCTCCCATTGGATATCTAGCCATTATTTAGATGGAAGAAATAATTTTCTGCAGATATCATTTATCTTTGTCACTCAGTTAACTAGTGGAACAGTTACCAGCAATGAAAATTATAATAAACCTAATTAGCATAATAGATTGTAAGGCTAATTATAATCTTTTTAAGCCAAGTTACTTACACTCTACTTAGAATGTAATTTCAAATGTGTGCTGAATCAAGGAGCCCTCTCACCTTCTGTGTACAACCCTTCCACATGTATGCTCTGATAATTAAACAGGGAAGTTACATTGCTGATGTCAAATTTAATGGCACAAAGGAGACTTCACGGGCCACTTTGAGTAATTGTTTTAAAATCGCCTGCTATTTCTTCCAAACAAGGTGTGAGTGCTTTCCTTTTTATGCAAGCAACATTACCAGCCTAATGGGACAAAGCTGGAGGAGCTCGTATGTTCTGGAGAGAAACCCAAGAAAAAAACATGGTTGCAGGATCACGTCCCTAGGCTGAGCTAGAATTACATCCTATTTCCTGACAGTAGGAACCGTAGAGCAGCGTTTCCTGGGAATTTTGTTGGCTGTGTTTGCAGCTGGGGACTGACATTTTTTTTTCTATCTAACACTGGTGTTAAACACTGGGTGAATTGGAATTCACAGTTGAATGGTTGGGGCCACTGCTGCAGGACACCCTGACTGGTGCTCAAGTGAAGGCTGAGCAGTGATGGTAAGGGCTTTCTAGGGACAGTTGAAGTGTAAGATCTAGACCTTTGAGATACATTTTATTATGAAAGAATAAGAGTTTGTCTTTTCTTCCCATATAATGGTTTTGGTATTATGTTAATGGATGTATTCGTTTTCAGACTTCCTGGGCCAAGTTCAACAGCAGTTCTGGAAGGCTGGCTATTCCTTTAAATTCTACAGAAATGGGTTACACCTAATGGGAAGTTGATTAATGATTAATGGGGCCCTGGACAACCTGATCTAATGGGTGGCAACCCTGCTCGCTGTCTTTAGGATCCCTCCAAACCCCAGCCATTCTGTGACCTGAGCTGAGATGCCATCCTCCTGACTGTAAGAGGTGTGGAAGGCCAGCAGCATGTTGTTTATTGTCTGTTTTATTTTTTCTTTCACAGCATGCAATCATTTCTCCATGCCTTGATCACAGCTATGGAATTTGTGCTGTCTAATGTATGCATGTGCAGTAAATTAAACTCAAATTGAATGACCGATTTCTTTACAGCTGAAGCTCCATTAATTACCATGTGTAAATCACATTAGATGAGATTAGACTGTAATGGCTGTAAAATAGGCACTGTCCATGACAGAGTGGCGAGGTTCAGAGGCCCAGGTGACAATCGCTTGGGTCCTTTTGAAATGAAGAGATGAAATGTGGTAGTCCTGCCTTTGCCTTGCGT